CATGGGTAACAAATCATCACATGTTTTAAAAACTCAAGTATTTTTTAATTCAATTTCAATTTCGAAATCTATCTAATTCTTTGTAGAAATCATCATTGATAATCACTCATATGGATGATTCAAAAGTATCAAGAACAACTTCATTAGCAGCTATTCCATTATCATTAAGTGCAGCATCTCTTTCATGTCTTGCTGCTGAACATCATCAAATACATGATCAAGAATCACTTGATACTTGGCGTACAAAAGCATTGCATACTATCGATGATCTTTACGAACAAAAAGCATCACATTTAAGACATGAAGCACATGTGAGTGCACTATTAGGTCAATTAAGAGCAATAATTAATGAAGAAATGCCTCGTCATGGAAATGAATATCTTATGAATAATCATCATATGCAATAAAGTCAAGTGAATACTAATAATTTAAGAGAATAGATGATTTTTTTTTCAGTCATGTTTTTCTATTAATTAAATATTAATATTATATTTTAATTAAAACATGAATCATTTTTCAATAAAAAACAAAAAAATCTATGAAATTTCATGTGATAGATATGGTGTGAACTGTAGAAATAGACTTTGATTTAATTAATTAAATAATAAATTATAATTCAGATTTCAGTTCAAATATGTCTTTGCTCAATTCTTGTATCAAATATTTCATTAACAAACATTTATTTTCTAACAAAACTTTAAAATGTCATATCGTTACGAAGTAATATTCAAGATTCCGAGGTTTCTGGAGAACAATGCATCAGAAAAATTTGAAATTTTCCATGCAAATAGATCTTGACAAATAGAGAAAAAGTTCTCGAATGTAGTTTTTTATGAGATAAAAGAATCACAATAGTGAAAAATGCCCTCCTCCCGTTTCTCCGAAATGCTACATTCGATCGAACTGAAAATATGTTTACAGACACTAGACATAGAAAAATCATTTTTTTCACCTTCAATCAAATTATTGTATCTCAGTTTAAAAAACACGTCACAGAAAACTCGGAGACGTCTCATTTTGTAGAGAACTGTTTGCTCTATTGTTCTATGTAGTCTAAACAAAATTATATTTACGCTTTCTTGGTGTTGAAAAACTAGGATTTTAGTTTTCTGAAACTCCTATCTTTGCGAATCTGATAGTCATTTTTAATTCCTTATGTTTTTTATTGAAAGCTATTTTCTCTATTCAAATCCACAATTTGAATTATTTCTAATGCTTATGGCAGCGAAAAACAAACATTGAAAATAAATTTTACTATTCGCTATTTATAGTAAATCAACTTTGTCTTGTTCTTAATTTAAAACAAGAATTCTTTTGTTAACGCTACTTTTTTGTCATATCTCCATATAAAACATTTCATTTTTCGTAAATAAAATTTTAGAAGCCAATATCCTCTTGATACCATCAATATTTATTTTAAAGAGTAGTTTTAAACATTGGTAACATGAGTTTTTTGTTTTACAAAAAGTAATTTGAGTGTCTTAAATCGAATCATTTGAAATAACATAAGAATAAAATCAAATCAACTCATGTTCATTTATATGTGTGTCAGAATATCTCAATGAAATACTTTATATATTTATTTGATATATGCAAAGAATAAAAAATGTGAAACAAATCAATGCAAAGTATATGATATAAAAAAAAAGAATATTTGGCCAGTCTATGAACAGGTTTGATTTACATCATTCGAAATTTACAAGTTTATCGCGTCTATTGATTAAAAATAAAACTATGCGACAATATATTCTGAAAGAGAATACATTATATAAAAGGAAATCATTTTTTTTCTATTACGAATAATTAATATGGATCAATATTTTATCAATAATTCTATTTTCATAATTAGAAACTTAATTTGTCTTGTGTCGCCCTCTTGTACTACGATCTGTATGATTCGGTGTTTCGTTGTTTGTGTGCCCACTTGACGACATGCAACTTGTTTTACCTTTTCTTCCTTTGTCTTTAACTCTCTTTAAAAAATCTACCTACACGTTGCAGATTTCACTGTGCCTACTCATACACACACCCACATATATAAAAGCTTGTTCTACTTGTTAACTGGTCTCCGTCCAAAATTTTAATCATCATGATAGATGCTAATTTTTCTCTATGTACTTATTTTTATTCTTCTCATCAATAGGTCTATTGTAAACGTATGAGTCATATTTCGTTTTCGTTTTTTTTTAATAATGCTATATAATATATGCAGGACTGCACAAAGCCTAACCGACTGCGATTCATAGTCGGCATCACATGCATAATGCCAACTTTTGCTGTGTACGTGTGTGTTTTTTTTTCTCGTTCGAAACGCATATGTATATTGATCGAAGCGACTTCATGTTGGAAAAAAAGACTAGTCACATAATGGTTTATTATCTTTGTTTACTATGCTACTTTTTCTAGATATATATTTTAAAAAAAAACAGGTGACAACGATAAATAAATATAAAGATTTGAGTCTTTCGAAATGTTCAAACAACAACAACAACAACAACAACAAATGGGTGAAACACTTTCACCTTCAGTACAATTAGATGTAAGAATTTTAAGTTACTCTTTGCTTTCTTTTCGAAACGAAAGAAAATAAAATTTCTTTCCGTCAGTCAAATTGTTCGATTTCTATTGTATTTGTAATGGTAAAAAGCAATGAAATTATTACGATATCTATTTTTTCTTCCTTTTGATGCTAAACACATTTTTTAATTTTTTTTAAATAATTATGTCAATATGCATACTACTGGTTGATATACAGATAAGAAAATATAAGTACCCGAGAGAAAAAAAAAAAGAACGACTACGATTGCATAATATACATTTATTCTTACGAAACTTATATAATAGTGAATGTAATAGAAAACATACACATAGATTCTTTTAAGTATTTCTCTTTTTTCTTTCGTCGGGATGACTAGATCAAAAACGTGAATAGAACACTAGAGTTTTGAATTATCGTAGTTAATTATTTATTTTATTTCGGCGATAAATTTATTGGTTTACATTAAGAAAAAAAATGTTTCATTTAATGGTCATACCTTTCTTTTTTTCTTTCACTACTTTCTTCCTTTCTATAATTACTTCCCACAATGAGTCAGAGTAGAATTACGTATCCATAACTATCGATAGTAACAAGTTTGATAGATAAGAGCACGTTCTGTGGCGGTTTATTATGGATTTTTTTTTCGATGTAAAATTCGTATTATTATATGATTAGCGAAATATATATTATAATAGAAGCTATCATCATAAAAACTACATGAGAGATTTTATTTATGTCTTTTTTTTTTTTTGTATAATTATAAATTTCTCACATTATATTTCTAGATGTCTAATGAAATATCTTCTTCACCATCTTCCCAATTGAGTGTCATTGTTGATTTAGCAACATCAACATTTGATTTTAAAAAACTTTATCATCAACTTTCATGTGAATCACTCTTAAATTTTGATCATCATTATTGGCATTTTGGTGGTCTTCGATCTTATACAATCCCATTTCAATCTAATGATGATGAAACAATTATTGATAGTTTTATGTCTAAATTAAAATTATTACAAAATTATTTATCTCTTTTCCCACCATATTGGATTTCACATAAAAAATGTCAACAACAACTTCTTTTATCCTTGACATCATCCGAGGTTATCAAAAAAAATCTTAAATTAGGGAAATTTTATACAAATAATATCTTTCAAATAGAATATACAGCAGGTGCACTTGTACAATTAAATAAATATATTTATGATATACAAACAGAAATAAAAGATAGTTGGCGTTTAGTTTTTTATCATGATAGAATTGATATTGATTATGGTTGTAAAATGAATAAATTACGAAAAACATTAAAAGCTGAAATGATAGATAAATGTGTTATTATAATGACTGAACAAAATAGATTAACGTTTTTTATTAATATGAATGGAAATCTAATTGATTATAAAAGTTTGAATGATGACGAAAAAATTAATTTAGAACAGGATTCTTCATTACAAAAATCTAATGAATCAACAGTTTCATATACACGTATTGCACCTCGTGAATCACAAACATTTTATTCAACAATTCGTCTTGTTATATCATTTGAAAATAATAATCCTAATGAAGAAAATCAAACGGAAAATTTAAAACGTTTAAAATATTGTTATACACAATTTCAAGAATTTTTTCATCGTAATCATATAAATGATTGTTTCGGAATTATTAAAAGTACACCTTCAACAAAAGATTTTTCATCAATAATATCATTATTTATGAATAATGAAACAATGTCATTTATTAAACAATATTGTTGGCAAATGTTATTATCCATTGGTTATCGTTTTCAACAAAGATTAACAGAAAATTTTATTCAACAAATGAATCTTATTGAGGATGATGATGAATTTTATCAGGTAAATTTAAATAGTGTGTAAAGATTATTTTTACATTAAGATGAAGTGTGTCCTCTTATTTTTTTTTTGAAACCTACATATTAATATGTGAGTGTAATTTCTTTATATCGAAGATTTTTTGCCGCTTTTCTTCCTTCTCATCTAAACCCTCTTCGTAGATCGATCTTGGGTCAAGTATATTCAAATCGCATGAAATTTTCATGATATGTTAGAACTATAAGTAAAGAGACTATGGTAAAATTTTCAGTCCTATACCATGATGTTTTCGAAAGATATTTAACAAACAAGCGCAAAAAATAACTCATTTGGCAGCCTGTAATTCTCTGTAGTCTTCAGTCTATATAAGTTTCTCTTTAATTTGAAAGACTATATCGAAGTCCTTTGTTTTCCGATTCTTACTTCTTATGCAAAGAAAATGGATGGCAAGTTTCATACATTGAAAAACTTCCAAAAAGCGGTCATCAATATCTGACATTACTTTTTTATATAATAAAAATGTTTAATTAAAAAAAATGGGCACTACATCTTCACAAAAGCAATTGACCATAATGAAGTGTTTATTCGAGAATTGCGGGATACACACGATCAGCAAACACAATTAGAGAAAAAAAGTTTCTAAGAAAAAAAACCGACGTGTAATATGAAAAAAATTATGTTATGTGTGAAAGATCCAACCTCAACCTAGCCATGTCGAATGTTTGTTTGCACTACTGCTGGTATACCGCGATTAGAGCCCATCGGGTCCGAGTTCAAATTTCCTTGGGCCCAATGGGCTCTAATCGCAATAGAATGGCGGGCAGAAGATAGCCGACCGTTCGAGTATCAAACTAGTGTCGGTTCTCTTGGGTTTTGAATCACATAAATATTCACTAATATATTTTTCTTAATTTCAATTCATCTGATAGAAATGAACATTTTTTAAAGGAACCTTAAAAAGTTTGTAAAAATACACTTTATTCTTCCGAAAATCTTTAGAATTCGTAAATAATTGAATATGAAATACTTATTATTGTTTTTTTATTATCTAGACATCTCTTCATATATGGCGTCGTTCAAGTGAATATTATTTTATTGATTTACTTGCTGAATTACATCGTTATCGAGAAAAACGAGTCGCTTTAGCATTATTATCATCTCCTATGAATACTTATCAACAAGGATTCAAAAAAGAAGATAATGAACAAGAACGTTGGAGTATACATAATCCACCACGTAATTATGCATATGTACCATCAGTAACACTAACACCAACAACTATTTGTGTTAAACCATTTAAATTAGTTAAAACTAATCGAGTTTTACGTGAACAAAAATTTGGTGGAAATCTTATGTTTGCATTAGTTGATGTTAAAGATGAAAATGGTACAATGGATTTATTTCCACATGATTGTATGTTGAAACTAAAAAAATGGATTATTTTATAATTATTGATTGTTATTTTTATTTTTATTTTTATCTTAATTTAGATCGAGCTTTACGTTGGAAAATTGAAATGTTACTTGAATCAGGTTTTGATTTAGGTAAAAAAGGTCGAACATATCGTTATTTACATCATTCACAATCACAATTAAAAGATAAACAATTTTGGTTTTATCATCATGATAATCAAATAAATCTTTCATTTGAAGAAGCATTTACATGGATGGGAGATTTTCAAGAAGAAAAAATTGTTGCTAAACATGCAGCACGTATTGCACAATGTTTTACAAGTGCTGAAGCAACTATTCAAGTAAAATAAATATTATTTTATTTATTAAATTTCCTTTTTTATTTTTTATTTTTAACTAATATAGATTCCATCAGAACAAGTTGAATATATTGAAGATATTCATACAGATGATCGCAAATATAATTTTACAGATGGTGTTGGAACAATGTCAACAGTCATACGTGATAATGTAAGATAATATTCATTATTAATTTATGTAACAAAACAAATAACAACTGAAAACTGTTAGGATAATCCCCTGTGAGATTAAAGTATAAAACATGATATAACTGTTGTTACTATTCACAAGGAGCTTGTTTTATTCTATCTATTTTCGAACAAATTTCTTCACCATCCTCTAGAAATACAGTAGTTTATTTATTAGAATGAGACATTATTACTATGTAGTCTTCTATTACATATCAATGAGAAACTGATCATTGCTCGCTAAGAAGAATACTCCTGCCTTTTGATTACTTTGCGGCAGATTTCATAACTCAGCATCTTCTCTACAGTCAATACTAGCTGTAGCTCTAGATAGAAGGACAGTCTAACGCAAAACTCTTGTGCTCAATCGCTTGAGCTCTCCCATTACCATAAGAACAGATGTATGTCTTGGTGTTGGGAGCTGCAGGTCCACGAAAACGCGGATCTGGACTCGAAAAAAGTTTAAAATTTGGAACTATATCAGACCGTGAATCCAAACCCGAAGATTTTTTATCAATATCTAGTACCCTTCGTGTACATAAACCAGTAAAGGATCAAGGTTTTCGTTATTTATTCGCTACTCTTAGAAAAAAAGACTCAACATACAGTTATATCCTGTTGCTGTATTTCTCATCTTGGAAGCAACGGATCTGCATAAACATGTAACCGAGTCCGACAAAAAAATAAAAGTTTGGACCCGAGTTCGAAAGAACCCGCAGCTCCCTATCTTGGTGGTATCAAGATTTGATTATATATTGAACAACGTAGCTATTCAGCAATGACAGTCCTCACTATGCAAAATTTTACAAGAATTTTGAAGAAAATGACAAAATATAATGGTACAATAAATCAAGGACGTGAAAGGTGCTAAATTGTTACCCTTATGCCTCAAAATCTCTTGTGGATTGTATTTCACTAAAAAAAAAAAAAAGTTACTAAAATTTAAGTTTAATGACGAACGAATAATATTAATAGAAGAATATCGTTGAATAAATTCTTATTCATTTTTATTTGAATAGATTAATCCACATCGACAATTTTCAGCTATTCAAATTCGATATGGTGGATGTAAAGGTGTCATATCTGTTAATCCAGATTTAGATAATGCTCCTCATCAATTACGTATTCGTCAATCAATGAAAAAATTTAAATGTTCACATGATATTCTTGAATTATGTCGAATATCTAAACCTCGTAAATATATTTTTTTTTGTTTTCTAATATAATTCATTTGATATTTCTTTTTTTGATTTTCAATAATTTAGGACCACTTTATTTAAATCGACAAATAATTGTTTTACTTTCTCATCGTTTAATTGATGATCGTACATTTCTTTTACTTCAAAATGAACATCAACAAATTTTATCCGAATCACTTGTATATCCTCAACGTGCATATGAATTATTAAGTGAAAAATTAAGTCGAAATTTATTTCCATTACGTACTTTAATTCATGATGCACAACTTAATTTAATTCAAGAACCATTTTTTCATCAATTAATAATAACAATTGGTAAATTTGAATTAGCACAAATGCGTGAACGTACACGTTTAAAATTACCGAAAAATTCAGCAAGAAATATGATTGGTATTGTTGATGAATATGGAATTTTAGAATATGGACAAGGTATTTAATTTATGCAGTA